GTAAGAAACTTAGTTTTTCTAACACACTGGATGGGATTGGTTTGTTTATCTGAGCTTTGTGCATTGTTTGATGAATGTTTATTTATTGGTCAGTGCAGACCCTTGCATGAGTCTCAATAATTATTCCCATACGTGGCTGCTGATAGTCTAATAGGTAGCTGTACCCAGAAAGGGGCCTAAATCCTTGAGCCCCTAAGAGTGACTAGCATCTAATTTCTCCTTACTATATGACTCCTGAATCAAACATGAAAGTCATGAGAATAGAGGAGATGATCACAAACTGAAGCAGCTCTTGATTGTTAAACAAATTCTCCTTGTTGGCCTCTTTGGAAATGTATAAAGAACAGTATAGAGAATATGTATGATGACATTGAGGTGTAAGGGGCTAAGACCTTGACCCAAACAGGACAGCCTGCTTGCAAACTAAACTGAGAGTAGCTAGAGGTCTTATAGGTAGCCTAGAGAGCTAATAACTGGCTTTTGATAAAACTGCTGCCTTTGTCTCATCTTTTGATTGCCTTTTTTGTTTTACAGAATGAGATTGATTGTATAGCATGGAGTGAAGATTCCTTGTTTCTTGCCATTGGTGAAAGGTACATTTACTTGATTCAAAGGACATACAGTTATTTTTTGCCATATGCCGATTAAGGTGTGCTACATAAATGAAATTTCCATTTGCCAAGGTTTATGATTGGGGATTGGGAAGCAAAGCCCAATGGTTAGAATTTTGAGTGGTAAGGATTCATTTAAGTAAATGCTTATAAATGTCATTGTTACATGTACCAGTTGGCGTCATTATCTCCATTTTGATCAGCTTCAAGCATGCAGCTGATTCTTGGTGACACGGGTTTTGCACTGTCAGTGACTGTTGCATCATACTAACAGGCATCAGTCTTTATACTCAATGAAGGTCACACTTCTTACATCTCATGTTAATGTCCTTCCCTGCTTAAGAAATAAGTAGAAAGTGTTTTAGTGCTAACTTTTCAATCTTGATTAGGTCAGGGACTTTCCACTTTGGTCATTCAGCATCAAAGCAAGTACTGTTTCAGGTAGGGTAAAAACTGTTTTTGAGGTATTTGAATCTCACTGTTGCGAGA